TGGAGTATTACTGCAGACTTAAGTACTAGTATATATTTAAAATCTGTAAATATGACTGCATATAAAATATATTTCCCTAGAAAGTTAGAAGATAAGTTCAACTTGTAGTAGAAAAAATATGAATTTTACATACTAAAATATGAATTTCAAAAACTAAGGAATGGTACTTATTCTGCAATTTGCTTTTTCACCTAAGAAGTTATGGTGATTTTTTCCACATAAGCCCTTTTTTTAAAAAAAATTGTTGAATATTATTTCACATCATATTAATATACCATGATTTATTTAACCAATCCCTTAATAATAGGCATTTAGAAGAATTACCACTTCTGGGGAGAGGTGCTAAAACAATGCTGAAACAAACACTGGATTCCTTTGAAATGAGAAATTTCTTATAGGTCCTTCCAGCTGTGTGAAGCAATTTAAAGCTGTGGTTTGCACAATGCCAGATTTATATTTTATGTTAAGATATTCTATGATAAAGGGACACGATCTTTCTATTTTCGGTTCTTTATAATTGAAGCCCCAGCCAGCAACCACATCCCTTGTCTAGGAAGTCCAGGCTCTGGCCTTCATCACTTAAAAGCTGTGTGCTTAGCCTCTCAAATGCCTCAGTCTTCTCGTCTATAAAAAGATGAAGTCTATGATAGCCTATCTCACCAGGTTGAAGTGTGGATTATATTTGGAAAGGAAATCGTGGGGTCTGGCCCATAGTTCTTCAAAACGGGAGGTTCATCACTATCTGACACTAAGAGCTAAGAACTTTATCACAGAAAACAAAATAACTCTTTCTGGTCTGAGAAACAGAAGAAAAGGGACTGCTTTATTCCTCTGACACTCAGGTAACAGGGTGAAACCTTTTAAACAGGGAAGAAATTCTTTACCTTTCTGTAAGACAGTGAAAAAGATTAATAAAAATTTTCCATACTGGCATTAAAGATCTGACAGGAGGAAGAGGTCGTCCTGGCTGTGACAGAAAGCAGATCCTTTACCACAGCTAGATTAGTACCCAGAGGCACGAGATATTCTGCTGGTCCTCAGGCTGCAGCTTTTGACAAGCAGTCTTGCAAAAAGCTAAGTGAGAAAAGGCTGATAAGACAAAGGTTACGCTGGGACCTACGCTTCTTTAAAAGTTCCTCTAAAGTACAGGTTTGAAAACAGTTGATATTTTCATTTTTTCCTGTTTAAAAATAATGTTGGAGCTATGTTAGCCAGGTATTTTATTATTATTATTTCTTATCACTCTTAACAAGAGTGTTAGTAAATAACTGGAAAACTGGTTCTAAGTCTGAGGGCCTTCCCTGGGATACAAAGCATTACAGGAGACCGGTGAGCAGTTTCCATGAGACCCGTTTAAGACAACAGCTCCACCTGGTGGTCACACTGCCAAACTACAAGTCCTGGAGTTCTGAAGTGACTTGAAAGGTGAAACTGTCGTTGTTCAATCCTTAAGGCGTGTCCAACACTTAGACCCCACGCACTGCAGGATGCCATGCTCCTCTGTCCTTCGCTATCTTCTGGAGTTTGCTCAAACTCATATCCATTGAGTCGGTGATGCCATCTAACCATCTCATCCTCTGCCACTCCCTTCTCCTTTTGCCTTCAATCTTTCCCAGCATCACCATCTTTTCCAATGAGTCAGCTTTTCTCATCAGGTGGCCAAAGTATTGGAACTTAAGCCTCAGCACCAGCCCTCCAACGAATATTCAGGGTTGATTTCCTTTAGGATTGACAGGCTTGATCTCCTTGCTGTCCAAGGGACTCTCAAGAGTCTTCTCTAGCACCACAGTTCAAAAGCATCAAATCTTCAGCACTCAACCTTATGGTCCAACTCACATCTGTACATAACTACTGGGAAAACCACAGCTTTGCTGTGGACCTTTGTCAGCAAAGTGATGACTCAGATTCTTAATACACTGCCTAGGTTTATCATAGCTTTTCTTCCAAGGAGCAAGTGTCTTTTAATTTCATGGCTGCAGTCACTGTCTGCACTGATTTTGGAGCCCAAAGAAATAAACTCTGCCATGAAGTGATGGTACCAGATGCTGTGATCTTAGTTTTTTTAATGTTAAGTTTCAAGCCAGCTTTTTCACCCTCAGCAACAGGCTCTCTACTCTTCACTTTCTGACAATAGAGTGGTATCACCTGCATATCTGAGGTTGCTGATATTTCTCCCAGCAATCCTGATTCCAGCTTGTGCTTCATCCAGCCCAGAGTTTTGCATGATGTCCTCTGCATAGAAGTTAAATTTGCAGGGTGACAATATACAGCCTTGACGTATCCTTTCCCAATTTGGAACCAGTCCGTTGTTCTGTGTTCAGTTCTAACTGTTGCTTCTTGACCCACATACAGGTTTCTCAGGAGATAGGTAAGGTGATCTGGTCTCCTGTCTCTTAAGAATTTTCCACAGTTTGTTGGGATCCATATGGTCAAAGGCTTCAGTGTAGTCCATGAAGCAGAAGCAGATACTTTTCCGGAACTCCCTTGCTTTCTCCATGAGCCATTGACTGTTGGCAATGTGATCTCCTCTGAATTGTGAAGTAACAGCAAGGTCATGGGCGACAAACCAAACAGCTCCCCTTAACCTCTTGCAGGGCTTTTTGGGGCAGAGACTAGAGAGGTTAGTTTTTAAACATGAACCGCAGTATACGTGACTGCTAAGACTGAAGTTTGGTGAACTTCTTAAAGGAGACGCCTGACCAAGTGCTTTGTCTCTGCACAGCACTGGAGGCTGGCACCAGAAAGCCTGATAGCCCAGCACTAGTGCAAGACGCGGGCAGCAACCGCATGCTGAGATGTGAGCACAGTCTGCTCCAGACTTCTCTGCATGCAAGTGGCACTTTCACCTAGGATGGGTCTGAATTCAAACCAAGCTGAAGGGCCTTGGGGTTAAAATGCTTTAAAAATAAAAATCTGTCACCATCGAAAGTTTCTGTTAAAAGGCTGTCGTGAACTTTCTTGGAGCCCTTTCTGGCAGGGTAGTTTGTGTATTTTCTTACCAAATGTGCTGAAACCCTATTTGGCTTATCTCCTTGTTTGGATAAATGTGTCTAGAGTTGGAGCTGCCTTACTGGCTGATGAATTATTTTTCTAAATGGTTGGCTGGGCTTGACGCAACCTAGCCAGAAAGACATTCCTTGCATCATATTTCCATTCCCTTCAGCTAGTAAAGGGTATTTTTCCTGTCTATCTTTGCCACAGAAAGCAATCTTTGTGGACATTTTCATATGTCAATAAATAGTTCCAAAAGCCACAAGGTCTCTTGAAAATGAAAACAATTCCTTTGACCTATAAGATGAAGTACTTTTAACAACTGTTTTATATTTGATTAATTTCTCAAGTCAAAGTCACTGTTTTGCCTTATTGAAAAAAATTTCCATATAATGTTGTACATATGAAACTTATGTAATATTATAAACCAATGTTACCTCAATTTAAAAAAATTTCCACAATAAAAGGGAAGCTTCTGATCAGTATTAAAAACTCTAATGGAAAGAACAACAAAGTGGGACAAAGTGCTTCCATGACAAAGCTCCGTCACTGTAGGAGTTCTGCCTTCACACCATGAGTCCCCAGGTGTTGTCCTAACCCCAGGAGTCCGCCTTCACGCTGTAATAGGACTACATGACTGTGCACAGATGTACTTTTCTAAAATGTGTTTCAGCTTTTAAAACAAAATTTTCAGAAAATAATGCAAAAGGCATAAATCAAGGCAGTCTAATTAAAAGAGGGGTTAAAAAAAAAAAAAAGCAGGCTTGATAGTAAATAAGATGAAACCTTATTTACCCAAATTATAATTAAGGAGAGAACTGTTATTTTTCCCAAGGTCTGTTTCCTAGCAGACTCTAATGAAAGGGGTCAGGTTCCAGCAGGGCCACAGACATAGGGTTTCTGGTTAAGGACTGCACTTCAAAGCTTCAGACGAGTTTCTTTGATAAACCAAATACTTGATTTACTAGGAAAACAGAAAATTTAAAGTTCTACTAACTGAAACATAGCAAGGTAAAACTGATGAGGGGATGGAAAGTTATGTAAAACATCGTGATATCTCCATATCTATACTGTAACAGGAGAAGACTTACATTAGTTATTCTGATAAATTAAGCAAAAACAAAACCAGCCCTAAATTGAAAAAAAAGCCCACCGATAAAGGAATGGGTAAAGAAGATGTGATACATATATACAATGGAATATTTCTCAGCCACCATAAAGAATGAAATAATGCCACTTGCAGCAACATGGATGGACCTAGAGATTATCATACTATGCGAAGGAAGTCAGACAGAGAGAAGGACAAATATCACGTAATATGATATGTGGAATCTAAAAAAATGAACTTATTTACAAAACAGAAATGAGAGTCACAGATATAGAAAACACACTTATGGTCACCAGGGAGGAAGGGAGGGGGGGACAAACTGGGAGACTAGGGTTGATATAGACACACAACTATGTATAAAATAGATTCTCAGTAAGGACCTACTGTACAGCGCAGGAAACTCTACTCAATCCTCTGTCATGACCTGTATGGGAAAAGACTCTAAGAAAGGGTGGGTATATGTATGTGTATAGCTGATTCACTTTGCTGGACAGCAGAAACTAACAACATACATCATAAATCAACTATACATCAATAAAACTTTCTTAATAAATAAAAAATAAAAATAAAAGTTTCTCTAAGAAAATTCCACACCCCTCCCCCAAAAAAGAAGGAAAAAGAAAACATGATAGGGAGAATGAGTTTTAATCAGGTAACTTATCTCTACTCTCTGCTTTGATTGAACTGCATACCTACCAAGAGCTTTTTTTAATCTGAGATATTACATCAGAAAAAGGAATCAACAGTACAAAAAGATTAGAGATTATTCTGCACCAAATACAAAAGTGATAGAAATGACTAAGTATCAGCTCTGGAAGATTTCCATATTTATATACAAAATTAAGAATAAGAAACAGGCAAATGAAAATGAGATAATATATATGGAACATGGAACACTGGGTAACTGTATCACTCTGAATCTTTTCCTTAGTTTTGAAAATTGAGATGTTTCTGTAAAGTGAGCAAATTTTTTGGTTTTAAAAACCTGGGTCAAAAATAAACCCAACAAAATATTAACTTAGATCCATTCAATGATGAAATTAAAATCACTAGTTTTAAAAAATATATATCATTTCTTATGCTACAATCCATCACTGAAAATCTGTGATGAATAATCATTTCATATTTTAACCACCAGAGTGGTGCCTGATCAGTCGGTGATCAGCTTACATGGAAAGTGGATTTAAATACCACACTTCTTTACATAATTTCAACATTTAAGGAAGGCAAGAGGATGAGAGGGATAAAGAAGAGGGAAGAGCACCAAGATATGAAAGACAGAGGGAGAACAGTAAAGTGAGTGCTGATTCCTGAAATCCCCAGGCCCAATCCTACGCATCGGTCCAGCTCTTCTTTTCACAGGATAAAGCCTTTACTGCTCTTCTAGGGAAGCTTCTGCAAGAACAGGACCTGCTCTTTCAAATCTGAAACACACACACAAACATATATGTATACCTGTGTGTACACTTATGCCTGTAGAGATATCCGTACTATCTGTGTATCATAGCAGATACTGAACACATTGTTTAAAGTAGGGAAGAAGTAGAAATGAGAGGGAAATATCATTATTTTAGTCTTTCCTTCTAATTGTACAATACCCTGTGAATTAATATTAGATGTTATTCCTTGAGTCATGATGAAAGCCATAAAAATACTAGAATAAAAATGCAGAGGAACAGAAACATGTGGCTAATTTCTCCTTGTAAAAAGTCTGCAAGTGGTTTAAGTTAACAAAGTTAATACAGGACTGAAAAGAAATAGAATCACCTTCTAAACTTTGAAATTCTGTCAATTTAAAATAATTAATTAGATCCAATCTGGGCAAATCCCTAATGATGCTCCATAATACTGGCACAATCGTAACTAGTTTTATAAGATATGATCCTGAAGTGGCTGCAGGCTTAGATTTACCAAAGTTACAGAAAAATTTTTTTTCTTTTGCAGATACTGTTAGTGTAAGGGAACAAGGCACATTTTCTCTCTGAAAGTGTACTTCGTTTCCTGAAAGCTCTCCTCTGGTAACACCCAGTGGCTAGTAAACACGCGCTCACGTTAAGCAAGCTACCGGGGCACCATGTCCCGTGAAAACGTATGGAAAAGATCTAGTGGCTAAAATGTGCACTTGGGAGAACTCCATCATGTTCACATAAGCAAACTGTTGTTTAGTCACTAAGTTGTGTCCAACTCTTTTGTGACTCTATGAACTGCAGCCCACCAGGCTCCTCTGTTCAAGGATTTCCCAGGCAAGAATACTGGAGTGGGTTGCCATTTTCTTCTCCAGGAGATCTTCCCCACCCAGGGACTGAACCCACATCTCTTGCATTGCAGGCAGATTCTTTACCACTGAGCCACCAGGGAAGCCCAGGTTGCCACATGTTACATTGTTCATTTCGTTTAAATGCTGGACTTAACCTCTAAAGCAAGGCTAAACTGATTTTACAGTGCAGCTAGCCAACATTTATTGAGTGCTTACTACATGTCAGGTATTGGGCAATGACTTTCATAAATACTCTCTTATTTAATCCTTCAAAAAGCTCTAAGGAAAGCACTCTTATTTTGCATGTGACAAAAGCTGCTGCCGCTGGATATCCATTCTTCCCTTTTTCTATGTAAGAGAACCCAATACGGGGGCAGCAATGTGTCCGGTTCAGAATACATCTCCCAGCATTCTCCATAGCTAGCCGTGTCCTTGAGACCAGGCCCAAGGCAGAGGGCGTTGTGGAACCTTCAGGAAGACTATTTAAGGCAAGCTGACTCCACTGGGAGGAGCATCCTTTTGTCTCCACTCCTCTCCTTCTTACCCAAGACACTCACATCCTGGCCTGTGAGGCCGGAGCCCCCGGACAATCACCTGACGGGACATGAACTGCCTACCCTCAGGCTTCTTATGTGAGAGAGCAGACCTCTGGGTTTACTACACTGCATTACAACTCTGTGTACACTACGCTACTACTCCTCTGGGTTTACTATCACCACAAACTGCTGACCCTAACCCTGACACATACAACGATACAGAGGGGAAAAACAGAGACGAAGTGATGTGCCTGAGGAAATCCAGCAGATAAAGAGTGAGGATGCTAACCCCAAGTCCGTCAGACTCTGGATTACACTCTTAGAAGAATGTGAGCTCTGCTATATTCACTGCTGGGTCCCGAGTGCAAGCTAAGGTGTGAGCATAGGGCCTGGCACATAGTAGGTACACAGCAGATATCTCTCAAATAAATTACTTTATTATGCTGCCACGTTAGTTTATCAGACAGGAGTTTAAATATAGACTCTATCACACTAAATTATTTGAGAAATATTAAATACTTAAGAGAAATACATTGCTTTGCCAATAAAATTAGGACCTCAGTCAAACATAGAAAATAATACCTAATGAACTGTCAAGCACTGAAATAAAATAAATAACACCAATTCTTGAGCGACAACACTAACAGGATATTTTCTTACCTATAGTGACATCACCTCTGATTTCGCTCTCTACACACACAACTGCTCCAGGTGCGATCTTCACACTGCAGGAAGAAAAAAGTAATATGCATCATGGGTAAGGTTTAAAAATACTGTTATAGAAGCTATCCTGACACTGCAATCACAGAAAGGTTAAAACAAACTGATGGAAAAATGAAAAGTAAACTGTAAGATTTAATATAGTATAAACTTCTCAGGTGATATACCACCCATCAAGCTAAAATAATGTATCATGTGTTCTTAAAACGCTTGAGAGGAAAAGAGGCATTGGACTCTTTTAACACCAACATTGTTTTTAAATAGCAAAAAGCTCAAAACAACCTAGGTATTCATTAGTAGAGACCTGGTTAATACATTATGGTATACTATGAATTAATATACAGCATAAGAAAGAATGAATAATCCTGTGTGTAAAGAGTTGGAACGATTTCCAAGCTACATTGTTAAGCCAAAAAAATCAAAGCCAGGGACTAGAATCAGAGGCTCCAGCATAAAAGGACAGAGGGGAACACTAGGGTAATCACAGTGCAGTGGTCTTAGAGGGCAAAGGCAGAGGACTTCAAAGGGAAGATTTCTAGGAAACAAGAAAAAAATTTGAAAGATTATGTGATGAGCACTTGGGAAAAAAATCAGGAGGCATTTGACAAATCTGTTGGAAGATTTGAAAAACATCAGTACATAGAAAAGTAAGAAAATGAAAAATGGAAGTTATTTGGTTAAATTTTAGATGAAGTCAGTTTGAGGTACCCATGGAGAAAGACCCAGTATAGCTAGATCTGGGGCTATGAGAGAGTGCTAGATCAGAAATATAGCTGAGAGTCAGCAGAGTATAAACTCTTTAACATGTTTCTCCATCATTCATATTCCAGAATCCACCCAAATATTCCCTAATATAAATGCAGAGTAACACCAAAAATAAATATTAAAAAAAAAATCACCACTTCCATACTGATGTGGAAAACTAAAAAAGGACATGCACGGATTTTTCTTCTATAAATTTAAGTGAACAAATCTTCCTATCACAAAGTATTTTTAAAGCTTTAAGCAAAAAAAAAAAAAAAAGCTTTAAGTAAAAAGAATATCCATCAGAACTTCCCTGGTGGTCCAGTGGTTGAGAATCTGGCTGCCAATGCAGGGGACATGGGTTTGATTCCTGGTCTGGGAAGATTCCAAATTGCTGTTGTTCAGTCATTAAGTTTGACCCCATGGACTGCAGCATGCCAGGCTTCCCTGTCCTTCACTATCTCCCATAGTTTGCTCAAACACATGTCCACTGAGTCAGTGATGCTATCCAACCACCTCATCCTCTGCTGCCCGCTTCTCCTCCTGTCCTCAATCATTCCCAGCACAAGCTCTTTGCCAAGGAGTTGGCTCTTTGCCTGAGGTGACCAAAGTACTGGAGCTTCAGCTTCAGCATCAGTCCTCCAATGAATATTCAGGGTTGACTTCCTTTAGGATTGACTCCTTGGGGTCCAAGGGACTCTGAAGAGTCTTCTCCAGCACCAGTTTGGAAACATCAATTCTTTGGTGCTCAGCCTTCTTTATGGTCCAGCTCCCACATCCATACACGACTACTGGAAAAACCGTAGCCTTGGCTATACAGACCTTTGTTGACAAAGTGGTATCTCTGCTTTTTAATATGCTGCCTAGGTTTGTCATAGCTTTCCTTCCAAGGAACAAGCATCTCTGAAATTAAAAGGTTCCACGTGCCATGGGGCAATTAAGCCTGTGCACCACAACTACCCAGCCTAGAGCCCATGCCTTGCAACAAGAGAAGCCGCCGCAAAGAGAAGTCCACATATTGCAACTAGAGAGTAGCCGCCACTCTCTGCAACCAGGGAAAGTCCCCACACAGCAATGAAGACCCAGAACAGCCAAAAATAAATAAGTTTAAAAAAAAAAACTTATAAGCCTTTAGTCTATCTTTAAAATATGTCCAGAGGAGACACAGCTACGTCTGTCTCCATCATATTGACAGGCACTGACTCTCTACAAGGCACAAATTAATACAATTTAAAAATGACCCATCTGGGTTACTACATGTCACTTGTCTACTGAAACCACAGAAAATATATAACCTTTCTATTGAATAGGAGAAGGAAAAACTTTAGTGACATGGAGCAGAAAACAGAAAATGCACCAAACCCCTCATTTTCTAGATGAGGAAATTGAAGCGCAGGGCCTTGAAATTTCTTGAAGCAAAGATCATTCCTGGGACATCACTGTCATAATAATATCGAAACACAAGTCCATGTGACTCACAGAGCGGCCAAACAATACTAAAATGTCAGAGTTTGGAGCAGAGGAAGTTTTACTGCAGGGCCAGGTAAGGAGATGGGTGGCTTATGCCTTAAAACCCCTAAACTCCCTGAAAGCTTTCAGCACAGCTCTTTTCTAGGAACTGGGGTGGGGGCGTGGCTAGTCATTGCAAACATCCTAGGTCAGATCCTTTGTTCTTGAGGTCAGCTCATGGTCAGGTAATGATGTTCCTATAAATCTCTACCAAATAAATGCCATTCTCTGTTCTGACGAGAAAGGGCCAGGTCCCAAGGCACAGCTGTCACCCTCCGAAGTCCAGGTCCTGGCTAAGAGGAGGCAGACATCCATCAGGGCCTGTCCCCAGACCCTGCGTAACCGGCACAGCTGAGGGAGACAGGCGCCCAGGACCCCAGCGACCCTCAGGCTCTTCAAGCCACCCTTAGGGCAGGGGCTGGGTCCTGCAGACTGCATCCTATGCAGACGCCGCTGCCATTATGCTGCAGACACAGGGACGGGGGAGAGGTTGCAGCTGCTCAAGGCCTGAGCCTGGCCAGTGGGAGGCCTTGGCCAGGGCTCTGGAGCCCTGCAGGAAACAGCCCCCAACTGTCCCCAGGATCTGCCTCTTACCTGACTCTCTGCCTGAGGCCTGAAGACCACCGCTCTGCTGACTGAGGGGACCACTGTCTCTCACTGACAGCTGGGGGCTTGTGGGAGGGGCCCACTGCAGCACCCAAGGATGGTTGAGCAGGACCGCTAATGGTTGTTCACTGACAGTTGATTGCTTATGGCTGCTGCTACTACTGCTTAGTCACTTCAGTCGTGTCCGACTCTGTGCGACCCCAAAGACGGCAGCCCACCAGGCTCCCCCGTCCCTGGGATTCTCCAGGCAAGAACACTGGAGTGGGTTGCCATTTCCTTCTCCAATGCATGGAAGTGAAAAGTGAAAGCAAAGCCACTCAGTCGTGTCCGACTCGCAGCGACCCCATGGACTGCAGCCCACCAAGCTCCACCATCCATGAGATTTTCCAGGCAAGAGTACCCGAGTGGGTTGCCATTGCCTTCTCCGATTGCTTATGGCAGGAGCCCAGTTAACTGTTACCTGGCTTCCCAGGTGGTTTGCTGGTAAAGAATCTGCCTCCCAATGCAGGAGATGCAAAAGAAGCAGGTTCGATACCTGGGTTGGGAAGACCGCACCCCCCACCCCCCCAAAATGGCATGGCAACCCACTCCAGTATTCTTGCCTGAAAAATTTCATAGACAGAGGAACCTGGCAGGCTACAGTCCATGGGGTCACAAAGAGTTGGGCAACTGTTACCTGGTAAAGGGGCGGGGCTTAAAGGTGTATAGCAATAGTCCATGCTAAAGTTTGAGTCCATGCTCAGCCATACTCTAAAACACAAACATCAATCATCCCTTTTTTGTTAGCGGGAAGTTTCCTGGAAACATCCTGTCATTTTGGACAGTTTTCTTGTGTCAGCTGAATGATTTTGCCCTTGAAATGTATCACCATTTAGAAACACTTTTTCTCTGATCCTTTTCCCTTCAGGTGGGTTTGTGTGTTTAAAAAAGCAATCTTATTAAGCCGTGGACAAATAAATTAACCTCTATAAAACAGCTCATTTTACACATCATTTCCGATCCTAGTTTTCTATTCCTTTAGCCTCCCTCTTGCTATGAATCTTTTTTTTTAATGAAAAAAAGCATTACCTAACATTTAACTTACGCTGGGCAAGTGAGAACAGAAGAGACTCAAAAATGCCCTCTCTTCAATTTTACGCCCAAGGAAGTCGCCCCAGGTTGTGTGCGTCACAGTCAGCATTATTTCTTTGTGAGGCAGGAATAATTAAACTCATCATTAGGCCAATTAAAACGTGGTCCAAATACCGCGGAGAGTGACCGGGCGGAGCTGAGAGCAGGCAGTTGAGGGAAGACTTAGCCGAAGTCCTAACTAATAAAATATCAACAGTACCCTCATCTCCACAGCATACTCCTATATACTGTGTACAATATTCCTACCATATCTGTTTCTCTTTAGCTTATGCAAAAGATTACAATTACTTGACTAAATATCTGAAAAACCTAAATGTTAATTTATGCCCTCCCCCAAAACAAGGCTTGTCGGTGTTCATTTTCTAAAAGAGTCAGCAGAGGGTGCTCAACTTTGCTGCTTTGGGAAACGGTTTAACTGAAGCTTGTCTTGCATCCCAGCTGTCCCTTTCCACCGACAGCGCCCAGTAGCCCCGAGGCTTGTTCCCACGCATTTACCAAGCAGTTAGCTTTGGCCCAGGCACGGCCCCCGCTTGGAGTCCGTCTACACATACTCGGAGCGCCTCCGACGGACAGGGAGGGTCTCGGGGGCCGTGGGCGATGGGGACACAGGACAGCTACAGGGGTTAGGAGCGCCGCGGAAAAGGGGAGGGTCCCTCTGTGTCCCAGGCGGCGGGGACGCCCTGCATCCTCAGCAGGCCCGCCCGGCGCGTGGCCGAGGGCCAGCGAGACCACCGAGGGACCACGAACCAGAACCTTTCACTACCCCATTCCGCATCCTTTCTCGGCCCTCGCTACCCCCAGCCCGTCGCCTCCTCCCTCCGCGAACGCCAGGTCTGGGCCTTAGGAACCGGGCGCTGGAATAAGACACCACCTAAGTCCCCACCACTGGCGACCAAGAGCAGATTCCACCCCTGCGGGGAGGAGAGGACAGGTTCTCAGACAGCGACCCACCTCTTTTGAGTCTTCTCCGCCATGGTTTCGGCTTCTGTTTCCAGTTGGATCGACACAACCGCCTGAGCACAGCGATGATCTCTGTGGGCGATAGTGAAGCCTGTCAGGACGGGGCGGAGCCTGTCAGGACGGGGGAAGGGGCGGGGCCTTGGCGCTGCTCGCCGGGGCGGAGCCGGCTCGCGGTGGAGGTTTCAGTTCCTTACGAGCCGGCTCCAGCCAGGCGGAGGTGTTTGGCCGCAAGCTGATTGTTAGTGCAGTGAAAGGATTGGCGGACTCGGATTTAAGACAGCCCTTAAGTCAGATCCAACGAAAGTCATTGTGACTTCATTAAGCCCCACTGTTCATTCTCAGTTAAGTTCCCAAAGGATCCTCCTGCTAAACCTGGGCCCCTTTCCCTTTCAGTATAAGCGGGTTCCCACCCCCCAACCCCCACCGTAAATTAAGTACCCTCTACCTGATTTCTTTCTAAGGTTAATCTCTGTCCTTTCCAAGCTTCACACCTGATTATTCGAATGCCTACTTGACCTGAATGCTGCGAGATCTTATGAAACCTAAAATGTCCAGAACAGAGCTTTGGTGGCACAGTGGTAAAGAATCTGCCTGCCATGCGAGAGACCTGGGTTCGATCCCTGGGTNCAGTGGAGGGGGGAGTACACCTTTGGATAGGCATCTGTCCCCCCACCCCCGACCCCTGTTGCCAGCATCCGAAATCAAACTTTTCTTTCCACCAGCCTGGTCTGCTTACTGGCTTTTGAGTGGCGGGGACCCGGACCCCACCTTTCAGTAACATAATCACGCTTTGTTTCTCCAAGAAGCCAGGTTGAATTCAGACCCAAACCGCTTCCACCCGCCCTCTACTCCCACCCCTCTTCTGACTGTTTAAGTCTCATGTTCAGCGTATCAGTCAGGGTTTAACCACAGAAACAAAAGCATTAGGAGATAATATAAGAAGAGGCTTATTGCAGGAAGAGGTTAATCTTCCTGATTGTGGGGGTTGGTTAGGCAGGTAAGAAACCTACAGGGCACATTGCAACACTCACACATGGATCGCAGCCACTGTCTACAGGTAGAATTTGTTCAGGGAAGCTCCAGCTCTGCCCCTAGGCCTTTTAACTGATGCGGGATCTTAGTTCCCTGACCAGGGATTGAACCCATGCCGCCTGGAGTTAAGTGCAGAATCCTAACACTTGGACCACCAGGGAATTCCCACTTTGGCCCTATTCTTTACTCAATACTGGCCACAATACCTGACACATAGTTGATACTTAACAAAACAAAACAAAACTTGAATAAATATATGGATGAATTTAGAACATCCTGTTGTCTCCAAGCAGGTAAACACCTATTCACTTTTAAGCAATGTCTAAATTAATTTAAAACACTTCCATGGCAAGAATAACAGCCAGGGTTCTCTAGAGAAACAGAAGCGGTGGACAATAATATACATACACACACACACATTAATTTTAAGGTATTGGCTTACTTGGTCATGTAGAAGTAGACTCCCAGGCTGGAAACTCAGGGAAAAGTTGATATTGCAATCTCATACCCAAAGCCTAAATGTGGGAAATTCAAGCAGGGTTTCTTTGAGGCAGGATTTCTTTCTGGGGGGAGAGCCTCAGTCTCTGCTCTTCAACCTTCAACTGATTGGATGAGGCCCACCCACATTTTGGGTGGTGATTTGTTTTACTCAAAGTCTATTGATTTAAATGTTAATATCACCTTAAAAATACCTTCGCTGCAATATTTAAACTGGTGTTTGACCAAAGAGCTGGGCAGCGAAGCCTGAGTTGATGCAAAATTAATTGCAAGAGCATGCTTATAATAAGGACCGTTTTATCAACATTAGGTACAGTGTCTAGGGCCTATAAGCTTTTTGAGAAATTACAAATTGTTTGAGACCTGAGAGTAAAAATGTGCTGATTCCAAAATTCAAGAAGAAAAGTACAAGTAGGTATTCATAAATAATTAATTCAATGACTAGAAGCATAACTTTTCCTTATCCAAATAAGTGCAGCTCAGTTCTTCTGAACCTAGCAACTATATTCAATGGGGGTTGTGGTTGCATTTTAATATGTTTAATATGATGTGAGCTTATTCATTGCTTAGGGAGCCCTTTTCTCCCATTAATTGCTCTAGTGTTTGTCTAGGGTTTTGTGCCATCTGTGGCCTGGAAAAAACTATCCATTTGGGAACATCCTTCCTGAGTCAATTTAAGCATTCCCCCTTCTCTACTTCCCTTGCATTTGAAAAATTCCTTATCTCTGTAGATGATTGCTTCTTTATTTATTCACTGCAGTATGCCAGTTCTTTAATGAAAGTATTTGTTGCCCTTTCCTTCTTCCTAGTCAATTAAGAGCTACTGGAGGGCAGGAGCCATATCGTATTCATCGTTCTATCCCTAGCACTTGGCACAGGTCTGTCATAAATTGGCAGCCTAATGGGGCTCATCATTTTTATTAATCAGTTGGTTTACCTTCAACTACATCCAACCAACCAGTTTATCCTCCATGCTTTCCTATACGGTATCTAATCTTCATAACAATTCTCTTGAAGACAACAGAACAATTTTGCTGAATAGCTGGCATTATTGTATCTTATTTTAAGATGAAGGCTTTCAGTTTCAGAGAGAGAAAGTGATTTGCTCGGAGTTCCCCAGCTAATAGGAGGCTTCCTTTCATGCTTTCTCTTCTGTGAAGAGCTGTAGCTCACTAACAGGTGGTCCTTGCCTTTAAGATTTTTTTTCTCCTTAAGATGATATTATATCAGGTTATACTTCTCTGTCTCTTATCTAAGACTGCTTGCTCTTGCATGTACCTTCGGAGATGAAAAATGGCTGGTCAGGGACAGCGTGGTAATGTTCTGGGCTCAGAAGATGGACCTTGATTAGCCACAAGGCTTCTTGTTCTTGTCTTGCTTCTAGGCAGTGTCTCTTGGATTGCTTGTCCACACCCTAAAGAAAAGCTTCTCTTTAAATATTCCTCTCCACATTTTTTCTTCCTTAAAACCCTTTGAATTTTAACAAGCACTTATTGAGCACATCATACACATCCAGCACTGTTCTATGTGCAGGGAATACAGCAATAAACAAAACAGATTTCCTCCCCTGTAGAGCTCACAGAGAGACGGGCAATAAACTAATTCAGAAATAGATATACAAGGGGTGGTGACCAGTACTATAAAAAAGGATAGAGCATAAGGAAATAGTATAAGGAGCCCAGGGAGGAAATGGTTGGGAGAGTCTTCCTAGTCTTTGAGAAACTGCCTCAAACCTTTCTCACAGCTCATGTTCTTGCTCTCCCTTCCTAATCCAGTGAGTTAACTGTCCTCAATGGGAAAATGAGATTTTTCATTTACTTAGTGAAAAGAATATGACAGTCAGATGACTGGAAAGGCAAATACTGCAGTATATAAACAAAACCAGAACTTCTGAAAGCAGTGCTTTTGTACATGTCCTTGTTAAGTAATATAACACCAAATGCGTTTTGGTTTCTATAGTGAGTCCCCTTTATCAGAAAGCCACCTTTTTATACTGCTTATCTCCAGTGCTTTTGTTTGTCTTTTGCTCACCCTTCCTAAACCATATAAAAAGATCAAAGAGAACCTGGTTGAGACTTCTCTTTCAGGAAAGCATCAGTTAAGGACTCTAGGAAGGACAGTATCTTTTATTCCAGTTCATGATGGATTGGCTTCAGCTGTTCTTCCGTGATCCTGTATCACTTTATCAAGGAGCTGCTTTTCCTTTTGCACTTCTGTTTAATTATCTCTGCATTATGGATTCATTTTCCACTCAGGCCAGGTAGGTTTGATGGCTAATTTTGCTCTTATGTCTAGGTTGGAGTGCACATGTGAATATTAAATATTAATTACACTGGTTGTTTTTAAGTTATCATCACTGCCACTGATTATTGATTGCTTGATTATGCATATGTCTAATAAAGTGAATCAGAATTGGAAATTGACATCATGTCTGCACTGACTCAGCTAAGTTTGATAAGTTCACATTAAATGGGAAAAGGGTGAAAATAAACCAGGGAGAGATGAATGTTGGGGTGATATAGACTTCCTCAAATGGATGCATGTATAAATCAACCATCGGAGAAGGCAATGGCAAGCCACTCCAGTGTTCTTGCCTGGAAAATCCCATGGATGGAGGAGCCTGGTAGACTGCTGTCTGTGGGGTCGCACAGAGTCGACACGACTGAAGCGACTTAGCAGCAGCAGCAGCATAAATCAACCATGCACTACAGATGTTCTTGAACAGTCTTAGTTTCATGGAATTCTATCATTTCCAATAAAATTAAATTTTATTAAAAATATGATTTTTTAAGTGCCTTTGTATGATTTCCCAGAGAAATGAAGTCAGTCAAAACCAATTTTCTTAGATTAGTTTTATCTCAACCTGGGATCTAGTGATTATTGTCACTAGAAATTTGATGGTCTTCTCTCTTAGCTCAGTTGGTAAACAATCTGCTTGCAATGCAGCAGACCCTAGTTCGATTCCTGGGTCGGGAAGATCCACTGGAAAAGGGATAGGCTGCCCACTCCACTGTTCTTCGGTTTCCCTCGTGGCTCAGCTGGTTAAGAATCCGCCTGCAATGAGGGAGACCTGGGTTCGATCCCTGGGTTGGGAAGATCCCCTGGAGAAGGGAAAGGCTACTGACTCCAGTATTCTGGCTTGGAGAATTCCATGGACTGTATAGTCCATGGGGTCGCAAAGAGTCAGACATGACTGAGTCACTTTCACTTCACATCAGAGATTTGATACTGATTAAAATGATGTTTTATAACCAATCAACTCGATACATTAGAGACAGTCCCTATTTTATAAAAAAGTTTTATGAAAAAAAGTTTTATGGTATATCCCTTTGCAAAGTTAAAGTCCATTGCCAAAGTTCTACCTCCTAATAATTTACTTATTTCTGAAATTTGGATCTTTACATATTGGGAGTTCTTATGTAAAATCTGGCTATATCTAACAATCAGGATGGCTGAGTTTGATTAAACTATGGTAGACTATTACATGTACACAGCTAGTTGGTGACTCTTTACCTTTATTTCAGAGATGAAGGAAGCAGTTGTAAAAAAAAAGTTTCCTATTGAGGAAG